CCCCACTCCCCCGCCCTCACCTGCCCCCGCCGTTGCTCCCCCTCGGTGCCTGACTTCTGCCTTCCTGACCTCCCTCCCTTCGCCCACCCTCCACCCGCCCTCTCCCCAAGTTCCTTCCTACTTCGTGCGCCTTCCCCTCCTCCCCAAGCTGAAGGAAGCAGTCTGGGTGACAGGGCGCCTTGTTATGAGAGGGAAAGTTTGGAAGCCGTCAGTGTATGGTGGGCGCGATGGTGAGGTTGGTGAGGATCCTTGCAGGTTTGAGGGGCATCCCTACATATCAGTATACCTCTTGTTGCTAATTGGAAGCCAGTGGGAGATTATGAATCCCCTTGCCCTAGGCTTGAGAGAGGATCAGGAGCGTCTTAGGAACCTGGGTGAAGACAGAGCTGTGGTTACAACCTCTCCCAAGCCCCAAATGAACTAGATCAGTGATTGTCTATATCGGGGGCGATTTCTGCTGGTACCACCCTAGGAGGTAGTTGGGCAATTGCCTGATGGTGACCTGTGGGTCAATCTGTGCTTTTTATATGGTCTTCCTGGGGGAGGGGACAGCAGCAGCCAGATACTGGGAAACTTCTTAGTGGCCTGGCATTATGGGAATTTGCCCATGCTCCTTGTTGAAGTCTTCTGTTCCTAGTAGGACAAAGGGGTCTGACCCTTCACGTATCAAGAAATTAGGCTATAATTTCGTGGTCCTTCACAGTTGAGGTGCTGAACCAACCCCTCTGGTCCCTAGGGACTGGGCTTGGAAAACGACAGTTGTGGACTTGGGCTGTAGATCCCTGGGGTCCTTATAGGCACCTCCTCACATCATTATGGACCTTCCCTGAGCGGTTTGGGTTGTGGTGCTTTCTTGTGGTAGGCAGATTCTTAAGAGGCCTTTCTCTTTCCTTGTGTTGCAGGTGTGGGCTAAGCAGGTGGCCCCGGCTTTAGACTGGACCCCACAATGTTTGCAGAGATGTTCAGGTAGCCATAGTGGTGTGGCAGAGGGATTCTTTTCCCTTGCTTTCTGAGGGGCTCCCCTTGCTACTCAGGCTTCCTGAATTTCCTTGGGTCGCCCACATTTACCTTCCTGGAGTTCTCCCTCAGGTACTCGCAGCCCAATGTAATCCTCCCAGTGCCCACATGGATGTTTGTGTTATCAGGCACAAGGGAGCTGATTACACACAATGAATGGGGGCAATGAGAGCAGTGGAGCAGACAGAGCTGGGGGCCCTGTGGCCACATCTGTCCCCATCGGTTGGCAGCGCTGTGTGCGAGAAGGTGCTGTGCTCTATATCAGGTACAGATCTTCAGCGTTCCCCAAGTTGTCTCAGCCTAGTTACCCTATCTGTTGCCTGAGTTTTCTTCCTCCCACCCCTCGTCTTAGAGCTTCAGTTTCCTGTACCTTATTGCTCTCCTCTGGTCCCTGTCTGCCTCAGTCTGTTCTCTGTATCTCTGGGTCTTGACTCCATCCTCCCTCTTTGTCTCTTCTCACATCCCTAACCCCTGGCCCTTCCCAGGAAAGCATTTGACTTATGAACTGTCCTTGAGAGTATCTCCTGATTACCTGCCAACTAACTCCATACCTGTTCTCTCCCAGCCCAAGTGGCACAGAGCTGTCTTCCTTGGAGCAAACCCGGAGCTACCTCCTCAGCGATGGGACCTGCAAGTGCGGTCTGGAGTGTCCACTCAATGTCCCCAAGGTCAGAGTCCTTAGGGGTACCAGAGACTGTAGGCATAAGCAGAGAGTTAATGCAAATTACTGATGGTACCTTTTGAAGATTCTATCCTCTTAGTGCCCCTGTCCATGCCTCTGCCTTACAGGTTTTCAACTTTGACCCTTTGGCCCCGGTGACCCTGGGTGGGGCTGGGGTGGGGCCAGCATCAGAGGAGGACATGACCAAGCTGTGCAACCACAGGCGGAAAGCTGTTGCCATGGCAACTCTGTACCGCAGCATGGAGACCACCTGCTCACACTCTTCTCCTGGTGAGTTTTCCTGCCACTCTGCAGAAGACTGAGGAAAACCTGAGGGCCTGTAAGGTGGACGGTGGATGAGCTCTATGAGAGGGAATCAGAAAGATGGATAGGGAGCTGCTTGGTGAGAAGAGAGGACCTGGGGTTGGGAACTTGTGAGACGTGGGACTGGAGAAGACAAGAAATTTCATGATGGGATCCACAGGCTGACCCTTCATTTTTCATTTATTGCAGGAGAGGGAGCAAGCCCCCAAATGTTCCACACTGTGTCCCCAGGGCCCCCCGCTGCCCGCCCTCCTTGTCGAGTTCCTCCTACAACTCCACTTAATGGGGGTCCTGACTCCCTTCCCCAAGAACCAGCTTCAGTTCCCCAGGCCTTCCCCCCTCTAGCAGGCCCTGGGGGGCTCTTTCCACCACCAAGGCTTCCTGACCCAGTCTCCTCTGGGGGCAGCAGCAGCCCTTGTTTTCTCCCAAGAGGCAATGCTCCCTCTCCAGCCCCACCTCCTCCACCTGCTATCAGCCTCAATGCCCCCTCATATGACTGGGGAGCGTCCCTCCGATCCAACCTGGTGCCCTCTGACCTGGGCTCTCCTCCAGTCCCTCATGCTTCCTCCTCACCACCTTCAGACCCTCCTCTCTTCCACTGTAGTGATGCCTTAACACCTCCTTCCCTGCCCCCAAGCAATAATCTTCCTGGTCCCCCTGGCCCCCCTGGTCCTGCCACTCAGCCACCAGTGTCTTCAGCCACTATGCACCTACCCTTGGTCCTGGGATCCCTGGGAGCAGCCCCCACAGTGGAGGGACCTGGGGCACCCCCGTTCCTAGCTAGCAGCCTACTCTCTGCAGCAGCCAAGGCACAACACCCACCACTACCCCCTCCCAGCACTTTACAGGGCCGAAGGCCTCGTGCCCAGGCACCCTCAGCTTCCCACTCATCACCCCGTCCCTCTCAGCGGCGTCCTCGCCGACCCCCAACTGTCTTGAGATTGCTAGAAGGGGGAGGCCCTCAAACTCCTAGACGGAGCCGTCCTCGGGCTCCTGCTCCTGTCCCCCAGACCTTTCCTCTCCCAGAGCCATCCCAACCCATTCTCCCTTCTGTGCTGTCCCTATTGGGACTCCCTACCCCTGGCCCTTCCCACTCTGATGGAAGCTTTAACCTTTTGGGGTCAGATGCACACCTTCCTCCTCCCCCAGCCCTCTCCTCAGGGAGCCCTCCCCAGCCCAGGCACCCCATTCAGCCCTCCCTGCCTGGGACCACCAGTGGCAGCCTCAGCAGTGTGCCAGGTATGAGTGTTATGGGAGTTTTCTGAGCTTGGGTGTAGAGTTCTTCAGGGTGTTGAGGGGTGTATTTAGAGAGCTTGTCAGTGTTTTGGGGGGGTTGGGTCAGAGAGGTTGGGTCTGTTTGTTGGAAAGAGGGCCTTCCTGGAGCTGAATCTCTCTTCTTTTACAGGTGCCTCTGCCCCACCAGCTGCCTCCAAAGCCCCTGTAGTCCCCGGCCCCGTGCTTCAAAGCCCATCTGATGGGCTGGGGATGGGGGCAGGCCCAGCCTGCCCTCTGCCTCCCTTGGCTGGTGGAGAGGCTTTCCCTTTCCCCAGCCCTGAACAGGGCCTGGCACTCAGTGGAGCTGGCTTCCCAGGGATGCTGGGGGCCTTGCCTCTTCCTCTCAGTCTGGGACAGCCTCCACCTTCCCCTTTGCTTAGCCACAGTTTATTTGGCGTGCTGGCTGGGGGAGGAGGACAACCTCCCCCTGAGCCCCTGCTACCCCCACCAGGGGGACCTGGCCCTCCTTTAGCCCCAGGCGAGCCCGAAGGGCCTTCTCTTTTGGTGGCTTCCTTGCTTTCACCACCTCCCTCAGACCTGCTCCCTCCTCCTTCTGCACCCCCTAGCAACCTCCTTGCCTCTTTTTTGCCCCTGTTGGCCCTGGGCCCCACAGCTGGGGATGGGGAAGGATCTGCAGAGGGTGCTGGGGGTCCAAGTGGGGAACCATTTTCAGGTTTGGGAGACCTGCCCCCTCTGCTATTCCCCCCACTTTCAGCCCCCCCTACCCTCATAGCTTTAAATTCTGCGCTGCTGGCTGCCAGCCTGGATCCCTCCTCGGGGACACCTCCCCAGGTGAGGCTAGGGGGTAAGTTGGTAGGGTAGGAAAAGAGCTGGGATCAGAGCTGGGTGTGGTGGTGCATACCTTTAATCCTAGCACTCAGAGAGGCAGAGGCAAGCAGGTCTCTGAATTTGAGGCCAGCCTCATCTAGTAGTGAGACCTGATCTCAAAAAAACAAAAACAAAACAAAAACCAGCTGGGCATGGTAGCACATGCTTTTAATCCCAGCACCTGGGAGGCAAAGGCATATGGATCTCTGATATCAAGGCCAGCTGTGATTACCAGGAGATACAGCCCCCCCCCCCAAATGGAAGCTGGGTGTGGTGGCACCCCTTTAATCCCAGTATTTTGGAGACAGAGTCAGGTGGATCTCTGTTCAAAGCTAGACTGGTCTACACAGTGAGTTCTAGGTGAACTGTGGCTACAGAGTGAGACCTTGTCTCAAAAAAAAACCAGGATGGGTATCCAGTTATATCTGTGTTTAGTAAGCATGGTTTACCTCAACTGGAGTTTCAGATAGTGTGTGAAAGTATTGGAAGTCTTGTCAAATACTTGACCATATGCTTTAACGGTTTCTTTTCTTAGCCCTGTGTCCTGAGTGCCCCCCAACCTGGACCACCTACCTCCAGTGTCACCACGGCAACTACTGACCCGGGGGCCTCCTCTCTGGGCAAGGCCCCCTCCAACTCAGGGAGACCTCCCCAACTCCTTAGCCCTCTGCTGAGTGCCAGCCTGCTGGGTGAGTGATGTGAAAAGAACAGTCAAAATTGGGAGCCGAAGGTAGTTGAATTTGAATTGGGAAGAAAGTCTCTGGCCATTGGGTGAAGCCTGAAGAGATTGTAGGGTCTCCTCAGTCTGACTGGTTTGTTTAGGGAAGAGTCCCTGACTATAATTTCTCAACAGGTGATCTGTCTTCGCTGACCAGCAGCCCTGGAACCCTCCCTAGCCTGTTGCAGCCTCCTGGCCCTCTTCTCTCCAGCCAGTTGGGACTGCAGCTCCTCCCTGGGGGGGGAGCTCCCCCCCCCCTCTCAGAGGCTTCTAGTCCCCTAGCCTGTCTGCTACAGAGTCTCCAGGTGAGGGTGTGGGTGGGTCTTTGGGAGAAAATCTTTTTCTCAAACTGGAAAGTTAGGGTTTTCTGAGTTATAGTTCTGAGGAGTGTGTTTGAAATTGAGATGATGTTTTTGCAGATTCCTCCAGAGCAGCCAGAAGCCCCCTGCCTGCCTGCTGAGAGCCCCACCTCAGCCCTTGAACCAGAGCCTGCCCGGCCTCCCCTCAGTGCCTTAGCCCCACCCCATGGTTCTCCTGACCCCCCAGTCCCTGAGCTGCTCACTGGGAGGGGTTCAGGGAAACGGGGCCGGAGGGGAGGAGGGGGACTTAGGGGCATTAATGGTGAGGCCAGGCCAGGCCGGGGCCGAAAACCTGGCAGCCGGCGAGAGCCTGGCCGACTGGCCCTCAAGTGGGGGACACGTGGTGGCTTCAATGGACAAATGGAACGGTCCCCAAGAAGGACCCACCACTGGCAGCATAATGGGGAGCTGGCTGAAGGGGGTTCTGAGCCCAAGGATCCACCCCCTCCTGGGCCCAATTCTGAGGACCTTAAGGTGAGTATGATAATGGAAGATGCAGGCTCAGGGTTCTAGTGTCATTTTCTCACTTTTCCCATACCCAATATCTGTCTTTTCTCAGGTGCCCCCGGGGATAGTCAGAAAGTCCCGTCGTGGCCGGAGGAGAAAATACAAGTGAGTGTTAGGCCCACCCCTATGCTGGCCTTTGCCATCACCTTGTTGGGATCATTGAAATGTCCATACAGTGGCTTGGTTTTATTTTGTTTTTATAATGTTGGGGCTCAAACCCAGGGGCCTTGTGCATGCTAGGCAAGTGCTCTACTGTTGAGCTATACCCCACAGCCCCAAATAGTGGCTTGGTTTTCAAAAATGGCAGGTATTTATTTGAATATGAATAAGGATATTATAATATGCCTTTACTATCCAAATGTAGAAAGTTTCCCACTCAGCCTTCTGAAATTCACCTGGTGCTTGGGAGCTGTTCCTGATCATCTGTGCCCCTTATTGCAGCCCTGCCCGGAACAGCAATAGCTCCCGCCAGGATGTTACCTTGGAACCCAGCCCTACAACCCGAGTAAGTGTGGGTTTAGGTGGGTGTATGGTTGTATGGGTTAGAAGTATACAAGGAGAGGGTAAGTAAATGGAGTGAGGAGAAAGACTTCCTGGTACCTTAGCTAATTGGTCACTGCTTTGGACTTTTTTTGTATAGGCGGCTGTCCCTCTGCCTCCCCGGGCCCGCCCTGGACGTCCTGCCAAAAATAAGAGGAGGAAACTGGCCCCATAGCAGCCATACCTGGAGCTGGAGCTGACCCTGAGTGGGGAGAGCTGAGTGCTGAGCCTTGGGAGTCCCTGCCAGCCACGTGCACCTGTGGACAGTGGGTGGGGGCCCACTCCCCACTCAGAGCACAAATGCAACCCCTTCCCCTATAATCCCATCCTGAGCCATTGCAGGGGGTAGGGAAGCTCACCCCCTCCCCCCAAAGCCATGTCACTGAAGAGGCCTGGGGGGGTGGTTATGGCCCTCTCCCCATCAGGCGCTAAGGGGAACACCCCTTCCCCAGGTCTTTTATTTGTTTAAGTTATTTTTGCACAAATGACTCTTTTATATTTAATTCGACTTCATTGCCTCCCTTCTTAAAGCCAGCAGGCTCAGTTTACAAACCTGTGAGCTACTGTTGGCTGCGCCCTCCTTCCCAGTGAAAGGTACAAAGCAATAAGCATCATGCATCTTCCCCTCTTCCCTCCAGCACCCCTCTGCCTCTGGCTCAGGTTGCTCAAAGCACAGATCCCCTCTTATTCCTGTCCCCAGGTTTGAAACACATAGCCTCATTTCAAGGTGTAGCCAGGTTCCCTCTGCTTTCCTCTGGGATATAAAAAGGGGGTAAGGGGGCAAAGAGGACCCTTTGGGTCTCTCCTCCCATACACACTACACTGCCCCTTCTCCCCCCATCAAAACGCTCAGAGACGTTGTGATGATGCGACAGGATTATGCAACGTGGTCCAACCGGAGCGGCCAGCATGACCAGCTGTCCAGGGGCTGCCTCCTGCCTTTTTTTTGTAAAGACAAGACCCTTGGGAATTTTAATTCTGTTTTGTACTTGCCCTGTGGGGCCTCCACTGCTTTTCTATGGGAGACACTCTTAATTTAACAGATGAGAATATTTTGAAACTCTGGTTCTGGCTCTGTACTCATTTTTTTATTTAGTTCTTTGGTAAGAACAGGTTATAACTGAAATACTCTCATAACTGAGTGTGGCTTAGACTGTTACGTTTTGTATGCCTGTTTCAGTGCTGCCTCCCCAGGAAACACAGCAGAGGCCACACAGAGTACAACAGTGTTTAATGTTCAGAAACAGTTGTACAGTATTACAGTCATCCACAGAAGCTGTGTTGGGAGGACAGGACCCAGACCTACCCGACACCAGGCAAAGCAGTTATTAGACATGAGCTGGCATGTGGCCGGGCCCACATCCTCATCCCCTGGGCCTGAGGTGGGAACACATCTAATATCCCCCAGCTACCACTCTGTGTTCATCAGGGGAGGGGCATAAACCCCACATGCAAGAAGAACCCTTGCCCTTTGTCAAGTGGGATGGGGCTGTGAGAGTTACAATGAAGGGTCGGCCCTGTGTAAGCTTTTCAGAGTTCAGAGGGGCAAGGGTTACCCCTGTTCTCCAACTCCTGAGAGTGCTCACTTTCCCAGCTTCTTCATCCGCTCATCAATGCTGGCGAAATTTCCCTCAACTGTGGCCAGGTTTTCACGCATAGTTGTCTGTACCTACAAAGAGGTAGAGAAATTTAATTTTGTCTGGTCCAGGTGCCCCATGGGTATGAAGAACAACCAGAAGGAATTCTCTTTAGATGAGAGAGAAAAAAAAAAGTTGGTAAAGTGCTTGTCTAGTATTCCTGAAGCTCTGAATTTGATCTCCAGCTTCATATAAGCCAGGCAGGGTGGTGTAAATGTGTAAGCCCAGCATTTGGGAAGTGAAGACAGAAGGATCAGAAATTCATGGTCACAGTTTGAGGCCAACCTGGGATACATGAAACTCCAAAGGAAAGAAAAATGGGAACATAGCTTCCTCTGGTGTTGAGGGGTGGGCCTGTGGTAGCAGTGGTTTCCAAACTGCCTTTTGAGTACTGTAGACCTAGGTCTGTGTCTGTAGGATTCCTAAGAACTCCAGTTATTTTTATAATGACAACCAAATATGACTTGCCAAAATCAAGGTTTCACTCGTTTAGAATTTTCGAAAACTAGAGGAAAAGACTATTATACAAAGTACTTCATATATTGGGTTTGAAACAGGATTGTAGCCCCAGCTGACTGGAAGTTGCTATGTAGACCAGGCTGGCTTCGGTCTCACAGATAGCCTGCCTTTGCCTCCCAAGTGCTGGAATTAAAGGTGTGTGCCACCACGCCCAGTAGCTTATTTTCATTTATCTTGGTCATCTGTGATGCTAATCTCATATGCTTCTTTCAGCACTAATAGTGCTGGATTAGAACCAGAGTACCTGTGTGCTGGGCATTGCTATAGGAATGGATAAAGATGGGGCTGGGGAAATGACTCAAAATGCTTACTCTGCAAACGTGAGGACTTGAATTGGAATCCCCAGCAACTATGTAAAAAGGTGGGCAGAGTAGCAACTGTCTGTAACCCCAGTGTGCCAGTGTGTGTGTGGTGTGTAGAGGCAAGTGAATCCTGGGAGCTTACTCTGTGTGTACAGGCAAGTGTATCTTGGGATTGAGTGAGTGATCTCTCTCTGTGCATGTATGGAGGCAAGTGTATCCTCGATGCTTACCGGCCATACAGTTTAGCTGTAACAGTGAGTTCTGTGTTCAGTGAAAGGCCTTGTCTCAAAGAATAAAGTGGAGGGGCTAGAGAAATGGCTCAGCAGTTAAAAGCATGCACTGCTCTTTACAGAGGTGCTGTGTTCAATTCCTAGCACCCATGAGGCAACTCAACAGCCTGTAACTCCAGCACTAGGGGGACCTGATGCCTCTGGAGTGCACACACAGACACACACGTAATTTTAAATAATCTTTTAATAATAAAAGATAGCTGGACGTGGTGGCGCATGTCTTTAGTCTCGGTATTCAGGAAGCAGAGGCAGGTAGACGTCTGAGTTCTAGGCAGCATGGTCTACATAGAGTTCCAGACCAGCCAGGGCTACATAGTGAGACGCTTGTCTCAAATAAAACTAATGATAATAATGTGGAGAGTAATAGAGACTTGATATCCACCTCTGGTCAGGCAGATGTACCCCATCCCACATGCACACTTACACATGCTAAAATCAGAAAGAAAGATGAATAAAGAATGTGAGAGATCAGACAGATGTGGTGGCTTAGGTCTTTGATTCCAGCACTTGGAAGGTTTAGGCAGTTTGTTATGTGTTTGAGGCTAGTCTTGGCTATAAGGAAAGATCTTCCTCAAAAAGAAACTAAAAAGCCAGGTGTGGTGGCATGTGCCTGTAATCCCAGCACTTGGAAGGAAGAAGCAGGAGCATTACAACAAATTTGAGGCCAGCCTCGTCTATATACAAAGTTTCAGCTTAGCCACAGCTACATAATGAGCCAAGATCCTGGGCAAGACAAAACCTCTGAAGTAGAGCTGGAGAATATAATCTGTCTATGCTGGAAAGAAGTGGAACAAGGGGTAGGAGAGATGGCTCAGTGGTTAAGAGCACTAGTTGCTCTTCCAGAGGACTTGAGCTCAATTCCCAGCACCCACGTGGTGGCTAACAACCATCTGTAACTCCAGTTCCAGGGGATCTGACATCCTCTGTGGGCACTGTAGGACATAGGTGCACTTACATGTAGGCAAAACACACTCATTTTAAGTATGCGGGGCATGGTGGTGCACGCCTTTAATCCCAGCACTTGGGAGGCAGAGGTAGGTGGATCTCTGTGAGTTCGAGGCCAGCCTGGTCTCCATTAGTGAATCCGGGCCAGCTGCAGCTACAGGGAAACTCTGTCTCAAGAAGACCAAAAAAAAGATGTACACACCTGGGTCAGGAGAGCAGTATTGTCCTTGAGGGAACTGGTAATCATCTGCTGTGTAGTATCCAAGTGTGTCAGGAGCTGACCAAACTGCATGGCTACAAAAGTTAGGAAAGGCAAGGCTGAGACCAGAATCTGAGGTGAGGGAAAGGAACAAAAGGGGCCCATGGTTCAACACTTGGCATGCCTGGAAGCTAGCCTCACACCTTGTTCATGCAGCTGCTTGATGGTGACAAGTCTCTGCACCAGCTCAGGAAGGGCAGAGGCAATGGGGCTCCAGCGCTGTATGGTTTCATATAGCTGGTGCACCTGAAAGGACACGACAGGGCCCAGAGAGGATGGCTGAGGTCACGCTGGCTGCTGTTTTGATGGACTAGGGAAAAGAGCAGCTGGGTAGAGAAGCACTGCCCTCACTTTCTCAACTAATAAGAGCTTATGAAGCTGTAAGACCTAAGCGTCTGGTATGTTCTCATTCTTTGATGTTACCACTCAGGAAGAACTTAGGGGAGTGGAATGGGTGTGAAGATGGGGAAGGGTCTTCCTGACCTTGCTCTGTGTGTCTGCATCCTCCACAGAGGCTTTATGCTTGGCAATCTCATTCACCTTTCCCAGGACACTCTGAAAGCAAAGATTTTAAGGTTAATAGGGCATTTGAATGGAGTTCCCAAAGTCCCAAGCTACTCAGAATCCAATTGGTAGTCCACATAATACCTGTAGCCGAGCCTCTACTTGGTCCAAAACTGCAAGATCCAGGGCATTTACCTTAGCCTGCAACAACTCTACAGTCTCCTAGGGGGTGGCAGAGGGGGATGGGACAAGTGTCACCAAGGGAAACAGATTAGAAGACCTTTGATATTTCACTAGAATTAATATATGCTGTAGATCCAAAAGTAATTCTCAAAAATAAATGCAATCCCAATAGCATTCTGTAATCCAACATTCCAGCTCCTTCCACTCACCATAAGACAAGCTCCCTGTAGACCTGCAGAAAGGGGATTCTGGTGGGAAAGGGAGGGAAGAAATCAGTAGTCTTCATGTCTCCATAGGATAACTACCTTCTTCCACTGTTCTTGGTTCTAGATGCCAACCCACTGGCTGATCCTAGAAACACAACCCCTTCCTGATTCCTCCCAGGTTACTGGAATGCTGTAAACCTGAGTGCTCAGGGTGCCGACTAAGTACAGGAGAGCACCTGACCTGAGCATCCTGATCACAGCGGACAGTGGCCTCCAGCTCTGTCAGGCGCTTCTCAAGTTCTGCAACCTATGAAGAGGGAGGAGGTGAGACTTATCAGCTGACTCTCTTGCTACAATGGCAACAATAAGATACTGCTCTGTGCGCCTACTGCCCCTGCCCTGCTCTAAGGGACTCATTTTCCTGGAACACATTGCTAACCATATATTAAATCTAAACTGAAAGTAGGTGGACCACCTGGGAGGTAGGAGGAGGAGGATCTAGAGTTAAAAGCCAGCCTAAGCTACATATTGAGTTTAAGGCCAGCCTAGGCTACATGGAACCCTGTTTCAAAAAACAAAACAAAACAAAAACTACAAAACAGTAGATAGACAAGGGAGACATGGAGAAGGACAGTAAGAGGAATCAAAAGCTTTCCCAACACATTGTCCCCAGGCTGGATCCTTCAAAGGGATATGGGGAAATTTCTAGGACCACATCTTTCCTGGCCCCAACTACCCTATATGCATACTTACTTTGGCAGCTTGAGAGAATCTGTCTTGCTCAGGCCGAGAGTGTAGTTCATAAGTGACAAGGCTGCTATCTGGAGGGGTCCCACTTGTGGTCTTTCCACCTGAACTCCCTTTGCTGTTCTTTGTTGCTTCCAGCTGCAGCAGTAAGCGCCTGGGTCAAGAGATCAAGTAATAATATCATGACCTGAGGGATGACGGCTACTCGATCTTTCTTTTGTCATGTAACTCTCATTAAAGAGCAGCTAGAGTCAGGCAATGGCAGCATATGGCTTTAATATGCCTTTAATCCAAGAACCTGGGAGGCGGAGGCAGAGGCAGGCAGATCTCTATGTGTTTTGAGGCCAGCCTGGTCTACATAGAGAGTTCCAGGCCATCATCAAGGGCTGCATAGGGCAACACTGTTACAAACAAGCACGCGCAGGCGCGCGCGCGCGCGCACACACACACAGTGAGCTAGGCCACCTCTCCCCTTAGTGTTGCTGTCAATATCTGGCTGAGGCCCTGCACAGTTCCACTTAGCAATGATTTTTCCAATAAGTAGGGCACCCACTTTGCCAGAGCTCCATCCGGGTCAGTGAGGTTGATTGCAGCATCTGGTCCCAGCAGCTTCTCCAGATGGGACGCAACCAGCTGCTGCTTCAGGGCCACCAGCTGTTTAGCTAGCACTATAGGGGTCAGCTTCTCCTCCGTGGCTGACTCCTTCACTGTGGTCTGATATGAAAAGAGGTGGATAGTAAGGGGTGGCAACAATGAATCCAGAAAAAAAGACCAATACCCTAAAAGACAGCTGTGGCCTGAAGTTCCTGGGATGGTTTTTAGCACAGTGGACCGCCCACCTAACAGCACTGAATGTAGATGTGTATTCCCAAACTCTGAAAAACCTTAGTGTCCTTACCCGCAGCTTAGGGAACTTTTTTCTTCCTGGGAGATGCTCTTCTGCTATGTAAGTAAGCTACAGATGAGCTGGAAAGAAGATGGTGTATAACTACCTTGATTTTCTCAACTTCAGTTGTCAGCTCTTGAACTTCATGCAGTAGTCGCTGGTACTTCTGCTGTGGCGTCTCCTTCACTCCCAGACCCTCTGCAAGCTAGAGAACAAGCACCGAGGGTAATGTTGCATCTCCCATTAGAGGGAACCTCAAGAATTTACCCCAATCTTGGGCCTAAGACATAAAGTATCTGCAACCCAATGCCCTAGTACAGAAGAAATGCAGAGAGCCAGAGGCCTGGAGACTCCAGAACAGTAGCAGGGGCAAAACACCATCAATTCTACTTGGCTCCTTAGGAAACCAACCAGATAAACTTTGAATAAGACTATATCCCTTGTTTCCCACCTACATGCCTGATAAACAGGATCACCACCCCATTCCATCAACACACACATAACAAACCATCTCATATTCTCCAGATTCATATCCTGTCCTCTTGGTTTTTCCAATGCGATCTGAGAAATCTGCCAAGAAAAGAAGATGTAACCTGAGCACATGATCTAGGACCAATGTAGTCACAGACTCAGGTGACTACGAGAGCTTCTAACAGAGCGCTTTGCAGGGGACCCCTTCCCCAGAACACAAGTCACTGTGACCTGAGAACAGGAAACCACTTATGCTTGTCCTCTAGGCTCCCCTCTATCCAACTTTCAGCCCAGTCTCACCAAGTCCCTTTGTCCCCACTCTCTTGTCCTTGAACTTGTCATAGGCAGCATTGGGATTGACAATGATGTGCTCCACACTTGTGCTGGTCAGCTCCTCCTGTAGGAATAGGGAGTTCAGGCTAGGGGCAGCCCATTCCCATCTTGGCACTTCCTCTATCCCATAAAATCCCTAACTACTAGGACACTGGGTCCTACTTTTCCGAAGGGAAATAAGGGTGGTTCCAGTTCAAGCTGCCGATCCAGGCTCCATCTAGGAAACAGAAACTTCCTGGTGAATTTGGAGCCTCAGTTGTATAAATATTAACACCCTGATTTAGCTGGGAACAGAGGCAGCATAACCTCCCCACCCACTCTGTACATAAGCCTCCCAACCCCCACCCTTCCCAGTTATCTGGCACACACCATGCACTCAGGGCAAGAAACCAACCTGACCTCTCTTAACCTCCCCCTCCCAAAAGTAAATCTCCTTTCCTGGCTGAGCAAGTCCATTTTAAAGCTGACTTCCCATCCTTACTGGAAGAAAGGAAGGCAGACTGTTAGACCAATAACTCTTGAGTGTGAAATGGCAGGTTTTAATCCTACTGAAGGTAAAGCAACAGCTCTTAGATATAAAAGGAGGGTTGGCAGAGGGTGTGCCTAAAAGCCTGGTTTCTAGGCTATTGTGGGGGGATAGGGATAGCAAGGCCTTACTGGATTATTTTTTAAAGGGCTCCTTAGAAGTAGTAAGCATAAACAACAGATGCTTGCCCAGAAGCACCTTGGGCAAGGCCACATATAAGGCCTGAAATGGAGATAGTAGAGCCCTCTTCACAGAAAAGCTTGGCATCTGTTCTTTTTCCCTGAGCCCTGGGCTGCACTCAAGCACTGGTCTGCCATAGCAGGAGACATCGCAGAAAGTCTGTTCCCTAGAAACTGTGGCAGAGGCTCTCTCCTTCCTAGACATCAACTTGCTCTTCAGATTCCAGTAATTTACATCCAGACTGGGCACTCGTGACTCATGTCAGAAGCCCAACAACTCCCACTAGAGTGTTCAGGGAAGGGAAGAGGCCTACAAGTGCTGTTCTGCTGGGGGTTGACACCTCCACCTTCCACAGGAGGCAGACAAGGTGAGTCTTCTCTCTTGCATCTGGGAAAATGGCTCTCAATCCTGGCTGCACATTAGAATCACTTAGAAAAGTTTTTCTTTTTAAAAGAAGGCCTGGGCACACCTCTTAGGTGCGGATTTCACTGCTGTAGGGTAAGGCGAGCTACCCAGGCAAGCCTATCTGCATCTAAGACAGAACCTCTGCCCGTGTGTGGGTATGTGGGATGCAGAGAAGAGACAAGGGACAGAGAGAGAGAACAGCAGATGGGGGAGGCTCCATCCTTCACCTCAGCTCTTAGTCATAGAACTAATGACTGTGGGAGGCAGTGTTAAAGATAAGGGGGAAGAAGGGTAAAAAGAAAGTATCAACTTTGAGCTCCACCTTTTATTCAGGGAACTGCTAGGCAGAAGGGCAGGAGTTTTAGGGCAAGGGAAAACAAAAGGGCACAATGTCCCACATACAAGTATTTCGAGAAGCAGAGACATTTGAGTCCCAAACTATTCTGTTTAACCTCTGAAGTGTAATAGCCAGAGTACCCACTTGCCAAAAGTTGTGTGGTCTCTGGGCTCTAGAAACTGTCTGAGAAGGACTCAGGCTCAAGAAAGACAAGTACCTTCTCTTAAGCTGACACTTGGGAATATGCCACTTCTCTCTGAGAAAGACAATAAGGTAGAAATCCTTTCTTTTAGACAAGCATGGTAGCACAGGCCTGTCATCTCAACACTCAGAAGGATGGCCAATTCCAGCCAGGCTGGGGGACCACAAAGCAAGACCTTGTCTCAAAAAATAAAAATAAGTGCCAGGTGTCCTGGTGCACACCTTTAATCTCTGTGAGGCAGAAGTGAGCCTGATCAAGTTCTGGGCCAGCTGGGGCTACTGGGAGACCCTGTCTCAAAATAAATAAACAAATAATAAATAAAAATAGGCCAGGCAAGCCGGGCGTGGTGGTGCAAGCCTTTAATCCCAGCACTTGGGAGGCAGAGGCAGGCAGATCTTTGTGCATTCAAGGCCAGCCTGGTCTACATAGCGAGTTCCAGGACAGCTGGGGCTACAGGGAGACCCTGTCTCAAAAAGACAAAAAAAAAAAAAAAAAAAAAAAAAAAAAAAAAAGCCAGGCATGATGGCATGTGCCTTTAATGCCAGCACTTGGAAGGCAACGGAAGGCAGATCTCTTGGGAGTTTGAGGCCTTCCAGGGCTATAGAGAGAAGTGGTCTCAAAACCAACCAAACAAAGTAGGCATAGTGGCTCATGCCTGCACTCTCATTATTTGGGAGGCTGAGGCAGGGGAAATCACTGCAAGTGAGACCAGTGAGGTCATCATGAGATCCGGGCTAGCTAGAGTTATAAAGCAAGACTCTACTTCAAAAAACCAAAAACCAGACAAAAATCTTTTAAAAAAGGAATGAGAGCTGGGGATGTAACTCAGAGACAAAGCATCAGCTTAGCATGCTTAAGACCCTGGGTTTGACCTCCAACCCCCACTCCAACACATGAAAAAAAAGGGGGTGGGGGTAGGAATGGAAGGCACAACCTCCAGACCAAGGAAAGACTAATCACAGCCTTCACCTGTTAAGCCCTTGTGGGTGGGCACTATGCAAACAAGAACCTACTTTCTGATTTGTGTTCATAAGTAGGAAAGGTGGGAGTAAAAAGGATCAATACTAAGAAAGTGACCTCAGAGGTTCTGGGCACTGCGCTCCTGCTGCAGGAAAGGCCTGGGCCAGGAGGGCTGCCGGATGTTGACATTTCAGCAACTCTCAGAGGTTGTGGCCCCAGGAAGAGTGGAGTGGCAACACATGCTAGTCCTCAAATGGCAACAACTCCACCAGTATCTCAAAGATCTGGGTATGCTATTATAGTGACTTGGGAGATAGGAAAAGGTCTGTTGGATGTGGGACTGACTAGGTAGTTCAAAGATTTAGTAGAGACAAAAGGATAAACGACTGCCCATCACAGCACACCCCGTTAAAAAGCAGATGAAAGATCAGGCTTCTTACCAGCTCCTTGTGGTTTCCCCAGAGGTGAGAAAATCAAAAGAGTTAAAAAGGAAAGGTGTGGGGGAATAGGGATGAGGGAGGAAAAAAAAAGACAAAATTGTTATTAGCAAATTGTCACATGGCCTACATGACAGTCTTCAAACACACTGCACCACAGGGCCCCAGGGGAGCCCAGCAAAATTTAGGGGTCAAGAATTTTGGCTGGGGTCATGCTATGCCCCAAGAGAAAGATGACTACAAGACCCTTTCCTCTCTGGTGGTGAGGATGTCATGAAGCTTTGTCATTTAATAGCAATTTAGGATCATCTGGGGATGAGGAGTTAGATGTTACAAGCTGGTGACATGGAACAGGAAAAGTTGCAGGAAAAGAAGGCTCAAATTGAGGGGAAGCTGTAGAAATGGCAGAATGTGAAGCAGAGGATGTGAAGATTCTGAGGACCTGTAGCTGACTAAGGGCCTGTAATTCTCAAGGAGAAGTTTCCTTTCCTAGTTCACAAGGTGAAAAGTTTTAGGGTCTCCTGATTTCTCTAGTTGAATAGGTGATAATTCACCCTGCTGCAGCTGAGTGATATGGGGTGATTTGCCACTAGCAAATCTTGTGCACTAGCACAAGAACCCAGAGGGACACCAAGATCCACAGCTACCAGCCTTTATTCGGAACATGTTTTTCAACCCCTAATCAACAAGATTCACAGAGGGTGGAGAATGGACATGGAGAAGGGTGAGCATATTTCAAGAGGCCTTATTTCAGTCTAGGCCACAGAGATATGGCTTTTATTTCCAGGTCTGACTGGCTTGGTACTGATAGGAGGGGAACTCCAACCAACCGTATGCTCTGCCTTTCCAATAGCACTGCTGATGGTAGATGGAAAGGCAGAGGGCTGATGATGGTTATATGTATAGGAAAACTCATGGTGAGGGAAAAACCGTTTTAGCCACATACATTTGACCTCAATCTCTCCATTTCCTGACCAAAAACAGGATCCAGCTTAGCCAAGGCACCTTTTTGAGCCCATGTTATAGGTGGCTCGAGGTCCTGTGGTCTAGGATCAGATGTCTTGTCACCCAAGTGGGCATAAGCACTCACAGGTGCACATATGTAAGCACAGAAGTATAGGTATCATATCTTTTTCTGATTTGTCTCACCAGGCTAAAACCAGCATGGTAGAAAATCAATGAGAGAGAGGGAGACAATGGGCCATAAAATGAAGTTCAAACCAAAAGAAAAAAAAAGAACCCCAAACCCCCAAACAAAAAATAAAACCAAAGAGGAAAAGTGATATATTCCATCTTATGAGTGGGTCGAGGGATGGTAAGAGATTTTAGGCATAATTCCTATAATCTGCAGTAGTAACAATCACCACAGAAATTTAATATACTATAGATAATTAGAAAATTCTAAATGCTCTGATCCTGGGTACTAGCTTATCTGGTACATGACTCCTATTCCCTCTCATTAATGGACTCTAAGACTCCCCGGAGTTGTTTGGCTAAGTGGCTGTGCCTAGAGTAGAAGACTTGAGGTTCTAAGTGAAACAAGAAAGGTGGCCTCTGATGCCGAGCTGTTCAGGCTGTATGTCAATACTGTAGCCAGGGGGACTTCAGAACCAACTGACAAGGAAGATGGAGAGAGCTGCAGAATAAAACTGTCCAGGATGGGCCAACACAATGCTGACCATCCACCCATTTCTAAAGAAGGAATACAGAAACAGAAAGACTTGCAAAGCCCAAATAACCCAAATTATCATCCCAAAATTCTGTCCCAGTTTTTTTTTTCTCTAAAAGCTTAGCATAAGAAAGTGTTAAAATGGGTAATCTCCCAGCAATCCACATACAATTAAGAGGAATTTAGCTTTCGCCCCTGTTCTCTACCCTTATCTAGAATGGCTGACGATCACTTCATAAAAATCTTATTGTAATCCCTTCAATTCCAGCCCCTCATGTTTAAATGCCTCATATTTAAAAGCATTCACAGCCTCCATGTTTCTAATCCCTCCTCCATTAGACAATTTTATTCTGCAGACCTCACGAGGGGAAGAGACAATGATTTGTGGATCATAGTTTTATTTCTAAAGCTTGATTAATGATCTTTAAACATAAGGCCAGCTACGCCCCTCAGTGACCCAACTAGGGATTCACTGGAATTTAAAATGATTAGCTACAACAATTGCAACATGGCAGAGCATTGCATGCAAGATGGCATATGAACAAAACATGCAGAGAAGAAGCATTGAATGGTCTTACTTGTGCAAACTAGCGTCCAGGCAGGGTGGTGAGGAGGGAGGATGGGGGAAGCATTAGGAAAAACTCAGGTAAGTTCAAGTGTGCCAACAGTCAATGAACACAATCAAGCATACTCTGATATTCTAAACTGTGACAAAGAAAACTTCAGGTTTCTCATCTTGGGAAGGGGGCATGCCTCAGTCAGGGACCCCACCAAGCCAGACCAGGGAAATCTTCCTTTTACACGGCACTGGGAGTAATGTCATAAAGGGAGAAATGGAGTCCTGTTCTAGTGAGGCAGAATGCTTCACTGATCCAAGGTAGGCTGTGGACCCAGGGGAGGGCATTCCATTTGGGAAGTAGTTTTCTAAACAAGACATTTTAAGGAGACATTGCTCCAATTAACCCAGGAGTGTCTGAAATGTACAGCTTTTCCCATCCTGTAAAGGAAAGAGCTGCTAGCTTCTGCAGTTTTCTGGCCCATTCCTGTTGTAAAATAGTTTACTTCCACCGGGTGTGGTGGCGCACACCTTTAATCCCAGCACTCCGGAGGCAGAGGCAGGCGGATCTTTGTGAGTTAGAAGCCAGCCTGGTCTACACAGTGAGTTCCATGACAGCTGGGGCTACAGAGAGACCCTGTCTCAAAAGGACAAAAAACAAACAAAACAAAACAAAAAAAACCAAAACAGTCCTTCTGCTAAAATTCTTTTAAAGGACTAGGAGAAAATTTGGGATCATCTGAAACAAAACTGAACATTTATTCCTGTCCCACTCTTCCCACTGTGGGAATCATAACTCTTTGCTGTTTTAAGTTAAGCTAGCAATTAAGGTCTTAAGGACACTAGAAAATATTATTTCCTTCCACAGTTTAATTCCTTTGGCAGTAAAGAAATCAGAGGAAGAAGGTTAAATGCCATTGAAGGTCTACACTAGTTGATATTCTTTAAAATTAACATCTAGAGATGTTAGATATTCCAAAAGTATCTAGCAAAAGTTGGTTGTATGGGATGTCTCCAGAGAAGAGAACTGAGTGGTAGCAGACACTGGTAGGAGACAATTTTTCACCCTTGGATGTTTTTTTTTTTTCTGCGCACATATTACTTATGTTAAAAAAAACTAACAAAATTAAAGTTGAAAATAATCTGGCTGGGTGTGGTGGCACACACCTTTAATCCTAGCACTTGGGAGGCAGAGGCAGGTGGATCTTTGTGAGTTCAAGGCCAGCCTGGTCTACAGAGTGAGTTCCAGGATAGCTGGGGCTACAGGGAGACCCTGTCTCAAAAAAAAGAAAAAGAAAAAGAAAATAATCTGGAGATTACAGTAGAGAATGCTGTCGCCAAGTATTAAAGTGACTGAAATCCTTACGGTTCAGTCACAGGAGGTTTGGAGTGGACAGGCTCCCAGTGAGGATCCAGGCCTCATGGCCATAATGTTTTTGTGTTAGCTAGGCATACAACTCCAGAGCTCCTTAAGTTGCACATTTACACCATTATTAAGAGCAGCAGCAGAGCTATTATGCAGCTGACTTCCCGAAAGCTGCCTTCCTAAGGCCCACAGGGACATGTGGAGGCCAGAGACATTAGCTGACATCAGGAAATATCTTAGCTGTCAGGACTCCTGAAGCAGCTGAAGGTCTCCACACCCCCTCCTCCCTAACAAAGCTCAGCTATAGGTGATGGGGGCAACTTTACATCACCTGTGTTTACCACCCAGCTCTGTGGCATTTCCTCAGTGACTTGCTGGGTAACAATGTAGGAAAGCAATTCTCAGGGTGTCCTCTCCCCATCAGTCATCCTACTAGCTGCTATTACAATAGCTGCTTAGGTTTACTGAGGAGAAAGAGACAATTGAAGTTACATATTCAGGTCTCATTGGACCTACAATGGGTACCATATTCCTTTTATTAAGAGCTACCTCAGTGAGGGCTTGATATATTAAAAAAATACTTTGTTTTTATTTTATGTGTTTTACCTGCATGTATGTAAGTGTACCTGTGTTGTGCCATGCCTGCAGAAGTCAGAAGGGGATGTCAGAGCCCCTCGAACTGGAGTTAGGGACAGTTGTTAGCCACTATGTGGGTGCTGGGAACCAAATCACCACCCTCTACAAGAACAGCCAGGGCTCTTAACAGCTGGGCCATCTCTCCATCTCCAGCCCCTGAAGGCTTGATATTTTATAAAATAAAATTTTGAGCCATCTCTGAACTAATGAAGTACAGAGAATTGTTCAAGATGAACTTTTCTTCTCTATGAGGACAGTTACCTCTTGGTGTGTCTTAGGGTGTATAGACAGCTACTTGGGCAATGACATCATCTGCATTATCTCCAGATACTTAAACCTGAGGGGTTGGGTAGGGGGCAAACTGACATGCCAGCAAATACAGAAGCCACAAGGAACACACCACTGGGAGACGGGGGAGGAAAGGTGTTCCCCACAATGCAGGAAGCACTTCCACATGAGAGAATCGAATAAGGAATAAGTGAGTACGCCAAGCCATACATTATAAGCCAGCAACCAGCATTCCTTCCAGAACTAACCAGCCCCACATACATGGCCACAGGACTTACAGACACACATACTGGGCCTGCATACTGAGAATATCCCCATGACTTTTGGCCACATCTTCACTGAAATCTCAGTCAATTTGAGTTTAGCTCAGCTTTCTTTGGAAATAACAGAACTTAAAACACAATCTATAAAATATTCTGCTAGATCTTTGTGCCTATTAGCACTTACAGAGTTTTTACTGTGTTGATTTCCATTCATTCAGTGTGGTTTTTCTTGTTACCTTCATGTATCCTAACTCTTCCTTATGTTTTCTATATGAATCCTAATCTTCCCATTACTCTGGGGCTTCTTGAGGGCAGGGATATTTCTTCTCCTGCACTGGACAAAAATCAACACAGAATGAACCCATTTGGTAAGTAATGCTAAGTAATTCCCTTCATGGTTAAAATGTGTCCACAATTAATTCCTTCCTCCTCAGAGCTCATGGATCTAAAAGTACTACCACAACTTCTCTACCAATTGGAAGATTTGTTTCTCCTCAAAATCATTTTGCTTTAACTAGGTTTCTTATTTTTCTAAAGCCTCCAAATCATTTTCTTACTCCTTGTCCAATGAATACTATATATAATTCAGAGTCTAGTTATTGGTTGATACTAATGCTCATGTATTGAGAAATATTTTATAAAATAGAAGTTATACTCCAACTTTAAGCAATTTATTAATGCGCAAGCTTCATGGGTCAATGCATGGATTAGAAAACAGGGGCCTAATTAAGTCATTAGTCATAAATGAAACTGTTTTGAGATATTTCAATTTTACTTAAAAATTCCAAGACTCGGGGCTTTACAAACAGGCCTTGTTAGCTGCGGTCCCACTGGATTGACTATCTTTTCTGACATTGTTTATTGATGGCTGCAAGCTCAGCAAGGCCTTTGAAAGCCCTGCAACCTACATACCACCAGGCTGGGGTTGGCATACCCACTTATTGCTGTGGCTTGCCAGAGATGGAAAAGTACCTATCTTGGGGAGAGAGGTCAGAGGCCAGAGGTACCCTGAAGCAGCACATTAAGTCTTACCGCATCAAACTCTGCTTGATCATCCTCAGGTAGGTCGCTGGTTTCATAAACATCTGGCTCGTTCCTGGCCTGCAGGTAGAAGCAGTGACCACCCAATCTCACTACCCAGCATTCACCTCTTATCCCACTTCCTTTGAATAAGCTAATGGAGAAGCCTGGCTGTGATGCCATGATTCCATCCATTCTCCACCTGCCCTACTTCAAAAGCATGTCAGTTCCCATGTCTCCTTGGGGTGAAGATGACAGCAGGTACAAATTAGGGCCTAAGGTAAACAGCCAGTGTGACAACAAAGATGTTACCCTGGACATAGCAAGGAGGGCTCCTCGAATTAGGCCCTTGCACACTACTCCCCTGGTACAAGAGTTGAGAGTGACTCAGGACCTTAGCTCTCAAGGTCCTGCGCTCCAACCCCCGACCCTGAGAATGCAAGACAGAGCAGCACAAACTGTACACGCTGGCTTGTGCATGAGGGCAGACACAGGTGCCTCCAAAGGACAGAGTTCCCCATTGGCACAAGGTTTCTGCCACAGTAACCTCTTCCCTGGCAAAAAGACGGCCATCAAGTGGCCTGGTAAGTATGGCTGGAGCAAGGACTGGGGGAGGCAATGGGGAAATTTGGGGTGACACGGGCAATGTTGACACGGATGGCGGAAACACGCGGGCACATGTGGTAAGCACACGGAGGCGATTTCAGGGCGGAGAAAGCAGAGACTGCCAGAAAGGGGGCCTTGGTGCGCCGCCCGATGGCCTGGCCCGGTCGGGTCAGAGTCCGGAAGGTGATGCAGCCGGCCGGACAGCGAGCGGCCGGACCCCTTGGGGCGGAGAAGGGGCAGCAAGCGGGAGGGATCGCGGGTTTGTTTCTGTTGGGGGTCCTTGGGAGGTCGGGGGCGCGGTCCTAGGGAGCCGGGCTGGCCCAGTACTCACAATGCCGGGAAGGTCGGCGTATTTAGGGTCCGCCATGGCGGCGGCGAGACGGGGCTGGGGAACCGGGGCCTTGGTGGAGCCGGGGCCTGTGATCGGGTAGGGGAGAGGCTGGGTCCGGTCCCCGGCTAAGGCGACGGTAAAGGGAGCGGCAGAGGCGCAGGAAGTCTCGCGACAGAAGTAGCACAGCAGAAGGGTAAAGCAAAAGTCGCGAGAATGGTCCTCTGCCACACCCCTGGAGAGGCTGGGATTGGCGAGAGCGAGGCCAGGGAATGAGGTAATGTCTAGGAGACTCCCCCTTAGGATTGTGGGATATGTAGTCCGGGTCCACTGGGGCTTGGGCAGGGAACAACAATGACACACCTTAGGGAACATTTTTATACATCTTATTTTCTTTCCTTTTTACAAATCTGTGAACGGTCTTTCATAATTATTGTTTTGGAACACCTAGAAATTGACTATATAAGATCACGCAGCTCATTATCTTGTGATATCATAAAAAACAACAATAAGATTTAGTAAAAAGTATATGTTAGGAATGGAAAAGTGATGCAGTTTCTGATGTTAGAGCTGCCAGTTTAAAATACAGGGAACCTAGTTAAATTTGAATTTCATGTAAATGACTAGTAGAATTCCCTCTCCCCTTTAAAGTATAAGCATGTTCCATAACATCTTTGGGATAGACATATTATTATCTGAAATTCAAGTTTATCTAGGTATATGGCTTTTTTTTTCAAAATCTGGAGATCTTAACTGGAGAAGTGGTGGCTCCAAATCTGACTTAAAACTCTGCTTTTCATCACCAATGGTGCCCAGAAATTTGGGGAATAGGAATGTACAAGGTCTCACACTATAGCCCAGGCTGGCCTGCATCTAACTTTGTAGCCCAGCTATTTTTTCATGTTGTCAAATGAGTATATTACAAATAAAAATCCTATGTTTTATGTTATTTTATTACACTTGTTTATTTTTCTATTTGTGTGTGTGTGTGTGTGTGTGTGTACATGCATACATACTATACCATGCATGTGGAGATCAGAGGGCAACTTTCATGAATCAATTATCTTCTTCCATCCTATGGGCCCTGGTGATCAAACTCAGGTCATCAGTCTAGGTGGCAAGCACCTTTACCCACTGAGCCATCTCACTGGCCCCAAAAACTATATATTTTTTTGAGACAGGATTTTCCTGTAGCCCTACCTGGCCTGGAACTCATTATGTATACCAGGGTGACCTTGGTTTCAGAGAACCTCCTGCCTCTGCCTCAGAGTGCTGGGATTAAAGGTATGTGCCCCCACACCCAGCTCAAAAACTTATTTTTTAAAATGAAAAATAAAAACCTTCTATGGACTATTGCCATCATTAATTAGTAGAAAAGTAAACAGATACACTCAGAATAAAAGGAAATTCTCACCAGATGTGGCGATGCCTATGAGTACGGCCAGCACTTGGGAGGCTGAAGTAGGAGGATGGCAAGTGCATACCAAACTCCAGGCTAGCCTCAGCTACATAGAGGGATTCTATCTCAAAAAAAAAAATAATAAAAGAAAGAAAGTTCTCTGGAAATGAACAAACCGAGCTTTATGAAAAAATGTACCCCATTGTTCTTTCAGGGGTGCACATCCACTGAATTTTTGTCTCTGATCAGTGACCCTTCATGGACTGGCATTTTGAAACTGCTTCACTAAGGACATCACCTCTTGCCTCTTGGAGGCTGGAGGTTGGGATATTTTCTGAGCTTGCAAGATGCTGCAACCTTTAGAAGCAGTGCCAAACCAAGTGACTGTAGAGTTCCTGAGTCTGGAACTCATTGCCATTCCTGGCTTCTACCCAAGCCTCTGCTCCCTCTCCATTACCCTGCTGCCTTCCCATCCAGGCTCGTTTCCTTCAGTTCCCTTAAAAGTCAAGGTGTGGTAATGGTGGAGGCTCAGCTTAGCTGATTTCTGATGGGTTAGGGTCTTTTCTGGGCAGGCCACCATCCTCTCACCCTTGACTCATAGAACCTGACCAACCTTAGACACTGACCAATTTCTGAGCAGGGCCTCCACCCCTTCCTACCTTCTACCATGACCCTGCTGTTCCCTTTGGCCTAGAGCCTCAACTCCCCGCAGCCCAGTTCTCTGTTGGCTAGAAGAGGCCTGTGATGTGGAGAAAAATCAGTTTGACCAGCTTCTCCCTGTTTCTGCCCAGGGGCTGCAATGGGAGCCTAACTCAAGGGGAGAAAGACAAGAAATCTCTAGGATTCACTTTTTTTTTTCCCCAAGAGAAGAAAGGCCTGGAAAGCGAGTGGGGTGTGAGGACTCTAGCAAAAGGTAACTGGGGCGTTAAACATGCATAGATAATGTTTGAGACCCAAATGTAGGTATTTTCCCTGGAGGTCCTCTCAAAGTACTTCTGGCATTGCTGGCTCCCATCATTGCCCCTTCCTCAGGCTTTTGGACTCCCTTTCTGTTGCAAAAGTTACTCCTGCCTATCTTGACCCAGCCCCAACTTTGGAAGCACAAACTGAGAACTTGATCTTCCTTTGAATGTTGATAGTCCAGAATGAGTTTATCTTCACTCAACTTGGGGACCTGGACAGTAGAATGTACCTTTCCAGCCGGGCGTGGTGGCAAAAAAAAAAAAAAAAAAAAAAAAAAAAAAAAAAAAAAAAAACTGAAAACAGCCAAACCTGCCTGGAACCATATAGGATCCTCCTATC